AGAGTAAAATCCATAGACATGGAAATACCAGACTGCAGGGGGAATTACTTTCATTGGCCTTTAACTTTTTTTAAGGTTTCAGTTTTCTTACACACCAAATCTCCAAATACCAAACATCTTGAAGCTGAAATTTAAATAACAACTGTTAAAATCCAAAAGTTATTGTGGTAGGTTAAAATGGCTGCAATTTCTTTGTTACTCTTATTATCAAGAGGTAAGAGTGTAATTCCCTCTCCTGGAAACCAGAATGACCTTGTGCCTGGCTTGACCAAAGAATGTAGTGGAAGTGATGCTGTGTGGCTTCCAAGCCTGTCATAAAGCGATTTAACCTCTGAGAACACGCTCAGGGGAGCCCTGAGCCACCATATAAGTAGTCCAGCTATCCTGCTGGAAAGAGAAACTGTGGACAGGCCCGGGATGATATGGAGATAAAAGCCAGGTGGAGGAGCCCCGAGATGCCAGATACGTAAGTAAAGAAGCCATTTCGGATGTTCCAGCTAATTGAGTCTTCAGTATCCAGATGACTCTGCCCCAGACACCATCTGACTATAGCCACGTGAAAGTCCCCAAGTGAAACCAGCAGAAGAACCACTCAGCTGGTCCAGTCAACCAACAGATCCATGAGAGATAATAAAATGGTTGTTGGTTTCAGCTGCTAATTTTGGGGTGATTTGTTATACAGCAATAGATAACCAAGACAGTCCCTAAAGTCCTACTTAACATAGGGATGGAAATAATCATTAATCTGTCTATTGCATAAGTAACAGTTACATATGCAAATGAATGGGATATATCAATCAGGATTCTTTTGGGAGGTAGTAATAGAAACTGAACTCAAACTGCTTAGAGAAAAGATGGAAATTTTTGGTTCATGAAACCCAAGGAAGTTAACTCATCCAACTGCAGGAGTATCAGGGATGATGTTTAACTATTTAAATGCCAACAGGGCATTTTCTCCCCGTCTCTCATTTCTACTTTCTTCTCTGTGCTGACTTCATTCCTTTTCACTGCTGACTTGTATTGTCTCCCTGGTAAGAAACCCGGCTATGAACAAATCTCCAGTTTCGTATCTTACAAATTCTACTATTGAAGAGAGACTATGCTTTTCCTTAGATGCAGTTTGAAAAATCCCAGGGCGGGCCAGCCCAGTGGCTTAGTGGTTAAGTGCGCGCACTCCGCTACTGGCGGCCCGAATTCAGATTCCGGGCGCGCACCAACGCACTGCTTCTCCCACCATGCTGAGGCCACGTCCCACATACAGCAACTAGAAGGATGTGCAACTATGACATACAACTATCTACTGGGGCTTTG